GCAGCCACGTCAACCATTCTCCTCTGCAGCTCCTCCACCACTTCCAAACTTCTTCCTGTCAACGTGCCTACATTCCAGGTACCAAACCTCCAACCCCTTGGTCTACAAGTAGTCCTTCCATCTATAGTGCCTTGCACCGCCACACTATAGAGTGGGGTGCCAGTAGCCAGACCATCCACAGGGCCTTGCACCACAACCCCATCGACTGGGTCTCCGGAGATTCTTCGCACCCTCTTCTGCCGGATACTGAGGGCCATTGTTTTCTCCGTCATCATCATAAGCATTTATTATTTGGCTAGTTTTTACACAGGACGCCCTTCCTTACGCAACCACAGTTATAAGCGGTGGGCCTAGCCTTTGATGATCCAACATCACTCACAAGGCAGTGAGGGTCAGTTTAATGTCATAACCAGGACCACTGGTAAAAACAATAAATTTTAATGATTTTCAGATCTGCCAAGAATCAGAAAGATTATTAAAAATAAATAATTATTGTTTTAAGAAAAAACTTGTAATTGAAAGCAACATACTCCCACAATGTGTCAACGAAGATTTATTTAACATGAAAAATCATTTCAATGATGTACAGAATGCAAACCACTATTATGAATTAATAAAAAAATAATAACATCATGTACAACATTAAGACGTTTTAACTTAACTAAAGAGTTTTCTATCAGCATGCAGTTTTAATAAAAGTAAATTAAATAATAAAATGCAACGAAAATTATACTATTTAAACTTATTAAATCAATTGTTTTATTGAATTTGTACAGTGCTTCTAATAGATTACATCAGAAGCAAATTCTGCAACCTTAGTTTTATCATTATATATATATATATATATATTTCACTTTTCAAGATAGTTGAAAGATAAATTTATAATTATGTTAATCAAACATTTTGCAGTTATACAACAAATAAACAAAACCGAAATCCAGAAATAAAAAATGTAGGACTGATCTAACTACGATTTAAGTTAATTACTAATTATAGCAAGATAGATGTTTTATAATCAACAAGCAAGAAATAACAATTTACACATAAATATAAAAGTATACATGTTCATGATCTAGCACCTTCAGGGTTATTTTATAAATAGTAATGTTAAACTAAAAATTATTAAACATTACATACCTATTCTATTAAAAATCAACAGTTTTATAAAATTTAATTAAATCAATAGCATAATGAATTTCATGTTAGCTTAATATTAATTAAACTATTATTTTATTAATATATTAATGTCAATTACCGTTGAAATAGTTAAGTTAAAGAATTTTATTTTAACAAATTATTATATAATTAATTTAATATATTAATAAATTATATATTAATCATAGCATTTAAAGTTAAAACAGATTGTTTGCTTTTACTACCAAAAGAAATTTTAAAAACCTCCTGTGTGATTAAATTTGGTTTGGGTATGTTAAATTGAAAGCAAATATTCCTTTGTATTGTAAGCTTTGGGGTGTTGAAAGATTCTAGTTTAGGACATATGCACAGGAATTACATCTTAATTTAAAAATTATTAGTTGATTAATTTATTTATATAACAATATAAATTGATCATGAGTTATACTTTTTAAATATTAATAACATTTCATTTTTACAATAAAATTTTTATCCACTTCTTTTCGTTTTCTAGATTCTAATTTAATTTAAGAATGATTCTTACTCTAAATGTCTAATCATCGTGATTCGTGGGTGCTGGGAAAATGAATGAAGAAATGAATTAGCGATCCTCATTTCAGAAAAATGAGGATCGCTAACGAACTTATTATAAATCTTCGATTTTTCTGATGCATCAAAAAAATGGCAATATCTATTTAACGATTAAATACGGCACCTTATAAAACCTAAAACTTCACGGAATGTTGAAAACGAAATAAATTTCAACAAACGAGCTGAATGCAGATCGACAAAGAGTCATTAACATAACATCGGGATGGCCGAGATTTTTTCAAATTATATCTCAGATTTTTCTAAAAATAAATCAAAATGCTCATGAATAATTAATTTTTGGGAACTTGCTTCCAGAGGTAACTTGCCCGTTGAAAAAAATTTTCAATGTTAAAACGCTGGTAGGGCGCTTCCAGTTATATAATTCCATGCTCTAGCGTATCCGAAACATAAAATACTAGATCCGGGCCCTTATTTTTGATAACAAATTAATACTGGGAATAAGTAAATGTTAAAATAATATTATTAGTTTAAATTATTTGTCGTTTTGTTAATTAAATAACTATTCTAATTAATCAGTTTTACAAATAACACATTTCGTTTAGATTTTTGTCACATTCAATATCGTTTCACACATAGGAATCTAACTTAACTAATTAACTTGAATATTGACCAGTAAGCATTTGCGCAAAACTCATAGTCACCTGCAACAATATAGAATAACTTTAACTAATAAGTATTTCTATTAAATATCTGATCCTTGTGTTAGCAATCCGAAATAATGTCAAGTTCTAGAAGATTTAATAAAAAAAAAATAAATTAAATGTCCTTAATGATTTCAAATTATCAAAAGCTTTTGAATTACCTTTTAGTATGTAACATGGATATTGAAGTGCTTCATATCAGTGGGCGGATCTAGACAACTTTGGGGGACCCTAATCCAGGCCCTTCAAATTAACAGGCCATTCGTCCTTGACATTTGTCTCAAGTCTCAATATATATGCATAATATATATATATATATATATATATATATATATATATATATCTATATATATATATATATATATATTATTGATAAAAATCACAGCATGTTCGGCGTTAGTTAACTTCCAATTTTTCTAACGGTTGATTGTAAATCATTTTCATGTTTCTTTAGTTCAAAACCAAAATTTTTGTTTATTTTATGCATGATAGAACATGTCTACAGCTTGAGTGAATCCGAGTACGAATTCAACGTCGTTCATTTCTTCCAGGTCAAATGATCGATGTTCCACAAAACTATGTAGTAAAACGAGATATCTATCATTCTGTACCAAGGTCTGAACCGTTAAGTCCTTATAGATACATTGAACTATCCGTTTCACTTTTCATGGCAGCTAATTTGGACAAAAACTCCAACCCTTTTAAGCGGCAGTTTAACTTTTCGATTTTTCTAACGGTTGATCGTAACTCATTTTCAGGTTTCTTTAGTTCAAAACCAAAATTTATGTTTATTTTATGCATGATAGATTATGTTAAATTGGAAATTAACTAACGCCGAACATGTTGTGATTTTTATCAATAATTGCATTTCTAACAGTCTTCTTAATCATATATATATATATATATATATATATATATATATATATGTGTGTGTGTGTGTATGTGTGTGTGTGTGTGTGTGTGTGTGTGTGTGTGTGTGTGTGTGTGTGTGTGTGTGTGTGTGTGTGTGTGTGTGTGTGTGTGTGTGTGTGTGTGTGTGTGTAGACTTGGATATAAATTCAGATGTTTTGAATGATAAAAAAATAAATTTCTGTAAAGCAGTAAGGAGGTCGAACCTAGGTTTTATAATTGATTCAAACCTAACAATGAAATCTCATTTTAAAATGATCTCTGGATCATGCTTGGCACAGATTAGAAGAATGAAACAAATTCGAGAATCACTCGATAAAGACGCAATGTAGACTCTGGCGCATGCGTTGGTGCACTCTCGTGTCGATTATTGCAATAGTTTATTTTATGGACCATCAAAATTCTGCAATCGATACAAAACCGTACTGCATGGATTGTGGCTGGATGTCGATGGATAACATTATCATTTTGAGTATATGGATGGCATAAAACGAAAAAAATGACATAAATAGAAAAACAGTATACGATGAGTACAACCTGTGTGCATGTATGCGTATATTTTAAGTATATGCGTACAACACCTAGATGGTTTACAAAAAAAGTCAAAAGCTCAATTATTTGATATCTATGTTGGAAAACATGTAAATACAAATGCAATCGCGACGGGTTTGCGTCACATGTGCGTCAGTCAGGTTAGTTAGAGTTTTTGCGTGATAATATACAACGTGAGGCTGAGTTACGATTGCGAAGACGCCAAAAGAGTTGCCAGCAATGGAAATGGATATGGAAGGAGCACGAGAACCAAATATTTTGATTACAGGTCTTTTTTTAGTTATTTTAAAATTAAAATAAAATAAATTTAATTAATAATTACTTTTTTATATTATTTTATTATTTACAACAAATTAGACTAGAGAATTATGAATCAAACTCTGGCAATGGATAACAAGTTGTTATTAACAACTGACATACACAGAGATTTGAATAGAAAATTATATTTTTTTTATAATTAAGCTTGCAAAATGTTATAGGTTTTAAAATTTATATTTAAATGTTGAGTAGCATTAACAACCCTACTTCCTGACATCGTTTTTAATGATCAATAGGTAAATTTTCTAATTTTTACAATAAATTGATTGAAAAATAAATTGGCTTTTAAAATTGCTAAAAAAATTTTAATTAAAATTGTTCAAATCGCCAAGTTATTTACAATTTTCAAGATTTGGTTTTAGTTTTGATGTTTGGTACTTGACTTTTTTATGTAATGAGATTCAGGTTCCTAGGTAATGTTTTAAATTTAAAATTGAAAAAGTCATTACACTGGTACTTGGAACTTCGCAAAAAATTCAAGTGGAAACTTTTAACTTTTGGATCCAATGATACTTTTTTTTAATGGAACTGTTTCCTGTAGGTTCTAACTAGCACTTTGCCCTTAAAAAGTAAAACTTCTCAAAAATTGTGATAAATATTTATTAAATTGGTTGCAAACTATGTCCATTGTCCAGTGCCATTTGTTTTTCTGTTTTTTAGTTCTGAAAACAAAATCAAACAGCAGTTTTAGACATTTTTTCTTAGATATGAAATGAAAAATAAATTATAATGAGTGCTCATCACAAATTGGTTTTGTTTGTATGAAAATTAAAAAGTAACTTAAAAGTAATTGATTATAATTAAAATTTATTGATAAATGAATAATTTTTACTGAACATTTTGTTAAAAGGAACCCCAGGAACTGGGAAAAGTACGTTAGGCCTTGAATTATCTGAAAGGTTGAAATTTGACTACATCTGTGTTGGTGACATTGCCAAGAAAGAAGAGCTTTATAATGGATATGATGAGGAATATCAATGTCCTTTTTTAGACGAAGATAAGGTAGGATGCACACTCTCTCATTTTCACACACACACACACATATATATATATTTACACATGCATACAGGTTGTTGATGAATTAGAAGAGAGGTTATCGCGAGGAAAGTGTATAGTTGATTACCATAGCTGCGAGTTTTTCCCTGAACGCTGGTTTGACATCGTCTTTGTTCTAAGGACCGACACTAATATTTTATATGATCGTCTGGAAAAAAGGTTCTTGTGAATGTTATTAAAATATTTCTTTTTTTCATACATTTTTTTTGGTCGATTTAACGATTAAAATGCTCGAATGTGTTATAAAAAAAGAAAGGGTTTTGTTATATAAAAAAATTGAGTGAACAGAATTTGTAAACTGATCAGTGCCGGTCAAGAAATTATTTTCTTACTATTTGTAAGCTTTTGTCTCAGTTTTTTTTTCTTTTAATATGGCGTTTTTATGCAAATTTTTTTTATGAAGATTGCCAATTTCGGATCTGCTATAAAATTTTTACCATTTATACAACAATGATGGTTTTTATTTGTCAGTTAACTTTTTGGTTAACTTGTTAAAAATCCATTTCATGCTTTAAAAAACAAAATTGTAAACATCAAACATATCAATAATTTTTCCAGAGGATACTCGGAGAAAAAGCTGCAGGATAACGTACAGTGTGAAATTTTTCAAACCATTCTTGAAGAGGCAAGAAGTTCCTACAGAGAGGAAATTGTGCATGAACTCAAAAGTAATGTTCCTAGTGATATGGAAAGCAATATTGAGAGGATTGTTGAGTGGACAAAACTTTATAGAACAAACAACGGACTGTCCTAATTATTTCATAGAGGGAGATTTCTTATTTTTGTAAATAAATTTTATTTTTTAAATTTAAATATTTTTGAAATTAGCCAATTAATAAAAGTCAGTCGTTTTTTAAGTCTTGGCTAACGATTTGTCTGGCTACGTTCTAGAACGTAAATACCTGTGACATACATTAACTCTTTACACCGCATTCAAACGATAATAGAACATCTGTGAATTATTATTCACAACTATTTTTTTAGGGTGGTATTGGATAACTTGCTGGTGAATCATTTATTACTCTTGCTTTGTTTGTATGAGATAATGTCGAGACTGGTTTTATTGGGTTGCTTATCAGTCGGCTCGTTGTTTCACAAACCAGATACGCAAGCCACAACAAGTGGAGGATTTGATCCCATTTGCTTATTTAGACTGCCAAGAAAGTTTTAGATTGTAAATTCAAATGCGTGCTGAACAAAATAAAACGGTCTTCAATTTGAGTAAGATTAGCTAGAATAAGGACGCAGATTTTCGTTTGTTTGTTCGATATTCCCAAACCGTCTCTTCCTTTCTTTACTGTACTGCTTAACTGCATTTCACGTAAAATATATCGAGTGCCAAACAACCCAAGTATTTAGCAAAAAATGTCAAAACGTAAATGTTTTGTTCATAATCGACAACTAATTTCGAGTTTGAAAACGGTCCTCCGGTAAGCACATAAATGCTTTTGTTTGTTCTGGGAGCGAGATCAGAAATTTTTACCCGTAATCGGATAATTGTAAATCGACGAATCGGAGTCGAAAAGATTTAAATCACGAGTCGGGTCGAAAATGTTTTAAACCGACTTCGACACCCTGACCTAAAATATAGCGAGGGAGTGCAAAGCACTGCATCTTGGCCTAGAATGGCCGGTTTAATAAACTAAGTTTATCGTAAAGTCTACCTGTTGTTATTTCCATGTGTTACTGTAAAATGATGTTCTTAATTATTTGGCAATCAATGTGACGATTGATTATCTCCGTCCGTGTTAGTTTTGTTCGTAGGAAGGCAAGGCGAGCGTGGATTGATAAAGGGCGGATAGAGGGGATAGTTAGGATTTGCGAATTACACGAAGAATAAAATGAAAGTACAAGGTACTGTTTTTTAGATTACTCAACAAAAGGCATATTATCGCCAAAAAAAAGAGTGCGAGATGGAGGCTTATACGACAAAAATAATTATTTTATTGAACAGTTGTCAGCGCATTGATAAAAACTAAAGGCATTTTCTGAGCTATGTCCAATGTTTTTTGTGCAAAATGATTACACCGAATCTTAGTTTATTTTTGGAAAACATTGAATCAAAAATAGTGTCTGAACATTTTCTTATCCATTGAGTTTTCTGTCTAATTCTAATATATATATATAGCGTCTCCGTTTTTACTTTATTAAATTATTTAAAATGCTTTTAACTTAGTTTTAGGTAGTATAGGTGTCATAATTTTCTACGGACAATTTTCAATTCATTCTTTAAAATTTAATTATATATTTATTTATTCTTTAAAATCTGACAGACGAATTTTAACATTTTCTGAATCCAATTCTTGTTTATCTGTAATACAATTTTTCTTCAAATTTAACTGAATTTTTGTGCCACTGTTAAAAACAGTCAAGTATTTTTTAAAATGGGGTAGTGTTTACTTAATCAATAACTAACACATTCCTTTATTATTTTTATTATATCTAAGTTTTTCAAGGGGAGGAAGTGCCAAATACAATCGTGTAGTGTTTTGCCTAGCGAGTTCGTTTTACTGTTATTTTCGTTTAATTAAATGACGAGATGCCCACGTCAAGGGAAGTTCAATATTAAAAAGTGAGAAATCAAAATTGCATTTTTTTCATTTCAATGAAATCATAAATTTTTTTCACTCGTTATCTTCATCCCAGTCATTGAATTTTTTCATAAAATTTTACATATCGATCATAAATATTTGTTTCCAGGTAAATTTTGAAAAATTCTGCAACAAAAATTTTTGTTTCGACGTTTAAAAGCTTTTAATGCTTTTCTCAAGTGGCGTTTTAACAAAATGCATACACTGGGATTTGTTTAAATGCACGTACAAATTTATTTTATTGAAGCGATTTTCAGAAATAATATGTGCATCAAGTTTTGAGCCTTTGGACCACTTTTTTCTTGAAATTTCTGTTGCTTGTGTGGTTGAAACTTCTTTGGCATCGCCAGCGTTATTGCTTTTTAATGGTGTGTGGCAATCACACTTATGTACTTCAAAAATATTATTTTTTTCAGATGGTTCAAGCAGTTCATTTTCAAGGTTGCAACATTCAAGTTGTTCCGATGATTCATCTTTTTCAATATCAATATTAGTACTTACAAACTGCTTATCTGTGGAAAATGTTCCATTTACTGATAACTCACAATTAGTATCAATGTTTTCTAATTGCTGATTGGACGGTAATGTTTTCTTTTCCGTAAACTCACAGATATCATCATTATCATCGATATTGCCACAAAAGCGTTGCTGATCGTCCGAAAATGTTTTGTTTTCGGAAAATTCACTAATTTCATTGTTTGAAAAGTTGTCAACTTGGGAATCTTTTTCCGATTGTAAAATTTTGTTCGTACTGCACAAAAAATCTTTGGAATTTGCAATTTCGTGCTCATTTTGCGTATCATGAATATTTTCGGCACTGTTTTTGGTAAACACCGGAAGAGAAACGAAAGGTTGTGCATCTTCATAACTGTTATATCCTTCGATGACAAAATCGACATACTTTTGATTAACACGTTCTGCGCCATTAAAATTGCGATTTAACACACTCATGCCCTCATTGTTTTGGTTTTCATTTTTCTGATGTACCAAGTTTAAATCGTTTTTCGACTCTCTGATGTGATCAATATCAATATTTTCTACCTTGTGTTTTTTGAACGGCACAATTTTCATTTTTGAATCACAGTTTGGACAGGTGATTTCAGTATCATTGTCAACGTTAGTTTGCTCCGACGGATATGTTCTCATATTTTTAATCTTTTTTTTGACAAGTTGTTTAAATTGAACTTGTTCTTTTAAGACATTCTTGTCTTTATTAATTTTTTCTGTAGATTTCAAATTTTCAACCAACTTTAAAAAGCGAATTTTGTGCATGTCCTCCGCATTGCTGGGAAACGAGTTGATATTGTATAAAGTTAATGCATTTTTCTTAGTCAACTTTGTCAGATGTTTACTTGAATATGTTTTTAAATTTTTTGTTTTAATCGTATCCTTGTTATATTTTATGCAGTTATTTTTCTTTATGCTATTGTTTGATTCTGGGATGCGTCGATTTAAACCGAAATGGTCTAAACGCATTGCTTCGAATGAAATATTCCATTTGTTGAGCGATATATTTTCCTTTTTCATTTTCGAGGAAATCGTTTCCGTGGAATAATGTTTCTTATTGCTCCATTTTTCTAAACTGAACCCCATCAAATCTAAATTGTTCACTTTCGCTATTGATTTAGAATTAATTAACTTTTTAGGGATTTTAAAAGATGCGCTAACATGTTTCGCTACGTTCGAAGTCTGGATTTCTCTTAAAAGTTGAATGTTTCTCATAATTGGCTGAAAATTTTACGAATCTCTAAAGTTGGTTATTAAAAAAAGATGTTTATCAAACTTTGACGCAAGTTTGTTTTGGTTTTTACGTCAGAGATTTTTCTTATCTTTTAACAAAATTCATATTTAATGTTTATGGATTTTTGTTTCGTTTTCAAACAATAAATTTGCAACAAAATCAAATCAAAAATATAAAGCAATGTGAGTTGATTCATAAAATAAATTGATATACCATGTCGTCAAATTAGGCTGACAATCCACGTTTTTAAAATGTTATTGCTTTATATTTATATCTAACAAAAGTTCACAAAAACAGGCGATTAGATAAAGTACTTCAGCATTTATAAAAATTATTCTTTAACTTACAAAATTTTCAGAACGTAACCAGCCTGTTATTCGTATGTCGTAGAAGATTCCCGTTTAATTTTATAAATGGGTAACGTTCGTTAATACTACCCTTATTTTTCATCAGTGTGTCAGGATGAAAAATATCCGAATCCAACTCCGGCCCTTCAAAAAAATTCGACTCCCGACTCTGAATCCGACCCCACAAAAAATTCGACTCACGGGTTCCGAATTCCGGAAAAAATTTTTAACTCTGTATTATAATTTCACCTTATTATCATCACTAAACGAAAAATACTTAAAAAAAACACTTAACATCAGTTATTAAAATTGTTTTCCATAGTAAAATTACTTTATTTTTATGTTTTGAAACATGCTGACAAAATTTTCAACTTTTTATCAACTACAACGACTAAATTCATCAAAATTAAAGTTTACAATTAAAAAAAATCAACTGACAATAAACCACAATTCCTAGACGTAATAATACAAAATACAATTGAAAAAACAACTGACAATAAACTAAGAGTGAAACCCATGGATATATCATGGATATATATTATATATATCCATGGTGAAACCAGGCTAAAAATAATCGAGGGTACGTTCGAGGGCCAGTATTGATATTATATGTATGTGGGCACATCTTAGTTATATAAGAATGCACTTTTAATAAAAACAAAAAAAAACTTAAATTTTGGCGTTTGTGGTAAAATATTGTAAATCGGTAAATTGAAATTGCACTTGTTCAGAAACAAATTTTATTAAATGCTATTAATTCACTGGATATAATTCTGGACTGACTCAAACTAATTCAAACTCAGATCTGGTGTTTGTTTGATTGAGTTGAGCAGATTTTAATTTAAAAGTTAATATTTAATACTAGGGATGCACCGGATTCAGGTTTTTCAAATCCGGCCGGGGCCGGACTTGGCCGAATTTAAAATTCAAAAACCGGCTGGAGCCGGGGCAGGATTTTAGTTACCATTTTACATACGTTAGAAAAAATACTCACATGTTATATCTACATCTAATTAATATTAATATTGATATCTACATGTTGAACATCAAAAAATAACACTAAGAAGCAAATAGTAATTTAAATATTATATATGAATAAGCTGTGTGATACGCCAGATTCTGTACACAAATATCAGCTTATAATTTATGCATAACCCATGTTATAGCATAAAGAAAATTGTCCAGCTCATCTCACAATTAGTGATGTTGTTATTATGTGTCATGTATGCCTAGCCTAACCTTTAATTAACATACCATGTTCTTTTAAATTATGCGCTTATGTATCTCTATGTATATATAATATATATTATGTAGCTATATGATCTGTCATATACAATTATATAGTATAAACATGTGCACAAGTTCTTTTACACAAAGATCAGCTTATAATTTATGCATAACCCATGTTACAGCACAAAGAAAATTGTCCAGCTCATTTCAAAATTAGTGATGTTGTTATTATGTATCATGTATGCTTAGCTTTTAACTTATTGACATAAAATTAATTGAATTCAATGAAATTTTTTTTTCTATTTATAACATTTTAAAATGTTGAAAAAAAGCCAGATTTTGGCCGGAGCCAGGGCCAAACTTCGGTGCATTCCTAATATTTAATATTATTATTATTATATTTACATTATATAATAATTATTTAGTATTTAATAATAATATTATAAATATATAAATATATTAGTGTTAAAAATGTGAAAAATAGTTTCATTAATGTTAATCCATAATAGCTCATGTTAAATCAAATTTCAATCATTCATAATCAATTATTTGTGATTAATTTATATAAATTTGTGTATGAAAAAGGCTCCTAGGATTGGACTCTGAATATCTAATGCCTTTTTAACCTTAATGAGAGTCCATTTCTATGGATAGATAATAACTCTAACCTAACATTAATATATTTTTGATTTGATTCGTAAGTTTTATGATTGTCTGTGCACAAAATACATATAACGATATTTTTTATTGCCAATTTTATTAACATTTTGTCATTAAACTACTTAAATTCATTAAACAAATACTCTAACTCAAAAAATGACTGGGTTAATGTAAGAGTCTAGATATCAAAACATTAAAATTAAATTTGTTTCTAATCTTAAATATGATAATGGCTGGTAATTGCACATTATTAATATTATTAATAAAACAATTATTGATACGATTATTTTTTTTACTGATTTGTACATGTTATTTTTAATTTTGTTGTCATTCCCATTAAAAGGTACTTGCTTGCTTTCAGTTCATTTATTTAATTGTTTGACAAAATACTATGTGAAACTCATACATTAATATTGTTTGCTGGAAAGGTTGCATTATTTAATGAAATAGATTTCATATTCAATTTACTATGCTTTTTACATTTATTTATAAAAAATTGTAAAATTATATTTATTTTTTATAGCAGCTAACATGTATCTCATTAATTTTTCTCAATTTAATATATATTTTTAACCAAAGGTAGTTTTTCAGTTTTTTCTTCTTCTTGTGTTGGACATGAATAGCTTTTTCAAATGTGCCAATTATCTTGGTTTAAATAGGAGGTTGTTTTCAAAGATTACATACAATGTGAATAAATTTGGCCTCCTTGATTTGCAATCTGTGACGGATGTCTCCGTTTCAACGATAGACTGCCAGACTCACCCTGACCAAAATGTTGCTTTTGTACACTACAAATGTTTGGACAGGAATGAAATGAATAAATTTCAATCTTCTTGGAAATTTGATGTCCTAAAAATAAGAAATGGTAACGAACTTCCTGAACATGCTACATCAATGTGTCAGATTGAAATTCCTGTAAAATTTAGTTGGTGACTTATTATTATATCTTTTAATATAACTTTGTTTGCAATAATTTTATATTCTTCAAGATACTTTTTATTTAAGCCTGGTTTCATAAAATAAGTTTTAGATAGTCCTTATTTTTAATTTTTTAAATATGATTCTTTCAGATGTATTATTAGATTTGATAAGAAAGGCAAATGTTTCTGTGCAAAATCTTCAAAATGAATGTGTGAACGTGAAACTTTTAGATGGTTCATGCACAATTAAGGACTTATTGGTCAGTGAAAGGTTGAATTGTTGATTGAATTGAAAGATTGAATCCAAAGTTTGGAAGATTGAATTTTCATTTGTTGTACATTATATTTGTTGCTCAGACAGATAAGTTGAATATTTCAGCCAGCGCTGGTGATGTGGTTGCGAAAGGATCTGTTCAGACAAATGCTGTCATTAACATTAAAGGAACTGGGGTTGGTTTACGTAATTAACCATTTACATTCAAATATTTTGGTCTTTGTTTATTTATTCATTTACTTACTATTTTTTAAATAAATCATCATAGAAGAACTCTTTCTAATTGTTTTTTGTATGGAATAAAGTTATGTAAATTGTAAATTATTCAGCAAATTTATTTTGATTAACTTACCAATTGAATATTCGGGTTATAAGTTTTTTGAAATTAATTTAGTCATCAAATATTTTAACAAATGGAGCTTTCAGTAGCATTTTGCATTTAATTTGAGGGTTGGTGACATTTAAATTAGACATCTTACGTCATGATTAGGCATGGCTGTTTGATAATATATAATTTCTATTGTAGACTATAAATGCCGAGAAAATCATTGGAGAAACATTTCAAGCATCAACTAATTATGGAGATGTTTGCATCAACTCATTGTACGTTACACAATCTAACATAACAACGACATTTGGCAGTATAAAAATAGGCCATGCCCATAAAACATTGAATGTCACAATTACTGAGCAAGGATCACTCGATATAGGCATTCATTTGTTTTTTGTGGCTTCAGTAATTTTTTTTATTTTTTTTATAGTTCATTTACTTAGTGTTGTTTTTATTGCAATTATATTATCACTGCAGGTTCGCTTGATGGTGACCTCAAGGCAGATATATGTAACGGAGACGTAAATTTATTTGCTTACAATTTTCAACTTTTGGGAATAATAGTAAAAAAAGGTTTAATTTTTTTTTATCAAATTTGAGGGTATATTTTTTATGAAAGTGAGATATTGAAATGTTGTGGGTTCAGAAGTTTAATTCCCGATCCAGACGGTGGATTCGTATGCATGTGGTTTATGATGAATCCCAGTGTGCATGTGTACTTGTGATTAGATAAGGTCGTTTCAAAATTATTTATTTTATTTTTTTATTTCTTTATTCAATTTTCGCATAAACAATTGTTGGAAAATAATTTACATAAAAACGAAAAATAGTCGAAGCAGTGCACTAAACATGACAATGGTGCAACAAGCGTTGCATACACACAATCCAGTTTTTAATACAATTGTAAAGCAATCTGCAAACCATCCAGTCTAAACGTTGAAAGATATAGAGGAAGAGCAACAATTACCTAGCAAAAAAATGAAAATAATAACAATTAGCCTTAGCAACCTACAGCAACACAATAAAATGCAATAGAATATCAAATTGAAAATATGCCTGTTGAAAATGATAGAGTTTGAGAAAACGACAATAGCAGTTAAAGACTTTATAGACTCTCTTAAATATGATCGAACTTCTTAACTCCATGCTATCAGCCTGGCAATATAATTCTGAACCAACTAGATGTTTAAGAACATCCAAATTAATACGAAAAAGATTCTATAGTGCAACCGGGTCAGAATGAAAGCTACGACCGTCCGCCGTTGAACGACTTCAATTATCTTTTAGTTAATTTTATATTCTTAATATGGAAAATGTGAGCACATAATGATTTTAAAAAAATCTTTTTTAATAATAACTCTTACATTTCCCACAGAAATTTTATTGCAGATCCAAATTCATTAATCTCCCATAAATTAATCTTAGACTGTGAACCAAAATTTAAAAAAATTTAATTATGTTGCTGAAAACTCCGTTAATTGACTTGATCAATTATATTACATAATACCCGAATTTCCAAATAACTTATTTAATATTCCTGCAGCAAGTCATTTTGCGTTCATTATTATTTTGATTTTTTGTTTATCCCGATTAGAAAATTATTTTAATTAATTTAAAATCCTTGTAAGTAAAGTTATTGCTATGTTATTTATTTTTTGACCCAGGATCAATCAATTTAACACTGAACGAAAACACTGCAGCAAGATTTGAAATTCATTGTAAAGATGTCGATTTCGATTCGACACCACGGAAGAATGACGTTGAATTAACCAGCGAAAGAAGCGGTTGCCCTGTTCAAAAAGGCATGCTTCTATTTTTGTTTGTAATAATAATAAATTCAATTGTTTGTCCCCGCGGTCTACAATCTTTATTTGCATTACTCACATCGTTGACGAGAGAGCTTGCCACACACAATCCATCTCATTTTTTGCTCATTTTTTGTTTAATGAATTCGTGTTAATAAAACTAAAGGACGTATTATTTTTTTTTACTTTGTTTACTTATTTTCAGTTTTCTGTCATGATCTTTATGATTCAATTTATTTTTCCAGATTTTTCCGTCTAATCTCCAAAACGGTTTTAAACTTAGCTTGATCAAATTTTTTTCCTTTCGTCAGCCCACGATTTGCTTTCTTTTTGGTTTTTCACCTCCCATATTTATATTTCTTTAATTAATTCCTCGCTTCTTTTTCTTAAATCAACTTAACTTCTCTGTCACAGCACATTCAACAAAACCTTTCATTTTTTCCTAACAACTTGGCTCCTTCCCACACAACAGCGGCTACTGTCGCTTCACATTTGTGCCTACCGTTGTATTATTTTATTACTTGCAAGCATCAATAAATTTAATTTTTAAAAACGCATTTTGAACGCTTGTTGGCTCATTGGTTCTCCATTTTCGTCCAACATTCTTCATAGGCAACAGAAATATCCCATTCAATCCTATTCATTCTGAGGAAATTTATTTGTCTCTTCGTTATTTTTTTTCCACCTTCTTTGTGTTCTCTTTATTTTTCACGCAAAAAATCTTTAATCTTACACTACATAATATTATTTTAACTACAACATTGGATTCAAAGTTTTGTACATTTGTGAAAAATTGTTTTTTAGTATTCTGATGCTTTCATTGATGATTGTTTCATTTTTAGCATAAAAGACAAATGTAAAAATATTTTTTTAAATGTCAGGTGAAATTCTTTCCAACGAGGGCTTCTCTCAGAATAATTTGCCTCTTATTCGAATAAAATGTTTGGATGGCTGTGTGAAACTATCTCAAGCAAGCTGGTCTAAAATGTTTTTGAAGACTAGAACATTTTTTAATGATTCAAATAAATAATTTGTTAATAGTGATTGTAGGCGATGTTTAGAAAACATCACTTCTGTTTTTCCAATCATTTTAAAAGTATTTTTACCAAGGATGTATGTATGAATATGCATCCCATCGCATAAAATCATCACCAGACACAAATATGTATACCGATTTATTGTAATGTGCATCTATCGAATAAGGCGTTGTACATACATACTTACATGCATACATACATACATACACACATGCACGCATTTCATAAACATTGCATTGTCGGAGATGGAGCGACAAAGGCATAACGGAAACTTTACTGAAAGCAGGTCAGCAATGATGTCAAATACTTACTAAACGAGGACAGCAAGATTTATTTAGTGGCATGCAGTTGGAAAGCCAAATTTTTTTAAATTCTATTCTGTGAGTGAAGTCATTCGTTAACTGGAATCTTGTTTTTTTTGCAGTTGTTCGTCATGTAGAAATTTAGTTGATTTATAGTTGGTGTATATCGGTCGAACCCATCGCCGTGAAGTCATTGTCTAGGTTAACTTTTAAGAGTAACAAAATTAAATTAAATGTTTTTTTGAACATGAAACATTGAAATACTTTTAAACTCTCTTGTCTGATGTCTGAAAAATATAAAGCATACATATTATCCACAAAAAAGGAAAGTTTCTTTAAAATTGTAAACGTTTTTTGTACCAAAATATTTATTCCAAACATCTCAAACTCAAATCCGCAATAGCTTGCAATAACGTGTTAAACTTAAAGATTAGATAACACACAGATGGACAGGGCTGGTCACCGAGTTAGCCCGCTGAGCGGAAGTGCATGTCTCGCGCTGCTATAACGCGATGGCATGGTTCGAATGCTGTCTGTCTGAAACTCGTACATGATTATCATAAGGTCATACGCGTATGATGCGGTGCTTACGTAATGTGAATGTGCGTGTGTGCAGCTTTTGTGGCACGAAAGTTTAATTAAGAGTACAGAATAACTTTGCGTTTGACAGACATGATTTATAAAGGTTAAAGAAAAAAAAATTCAAAGTAAGTTTAGTAAAATTTATCGGTGAGATTTATCTGGATACGCTCATCAACTCCAAAATTTTTTGTATAGTTTTTAGTGCAATGCTAACAATTTTAATTTTTGAAAAGAAAATTTGCGTCAAGTTTAACAGCACTTCATTGACTTTGTTAGCGAAAGCGAAGACTGTAAAATATTTTGTACAACTTAGTAAAGTGGGTTTCGCTTACGGGAAAGCACTTTTGTTATATGCTTCAATTAAATATAAGTTAAAACGAAGAATTTATTGTTTTTTTTTACATCATAAAGCAGTACACGGATGACATGACAGGAGGTAAAACATTTCTAATGATTATGTTTATGGCATGCAATTAACAATACTGAGAAAAAATGAATTAAATATTATTCGCATTAACTCCACTCTAGAAAGTTTTTCTAAGCTTTTACTTTGGGTTTCTCTAGATTTTGATTTCAACTTTAATTTTCCGCCTTTTATTTTGTCACTGTCATCTCTGAAGTGTTGTTCTGTTGTTTTAATTTCTTCCCCCATATCAAACTCTGCAAAAATTTATAATTTTGCAATTTTTTCCCGAAGAAATGAAGACCGGTACTAACGATAAAAGTAGCTATCATAAACGTCCATGTTGTCTCCGAAATGAGTTAGATCGATCATCCCCTTGAGAAATTTTAAATTTTTATTCGACTAAGTTGCAAAATTTTGATGGATCTTTTATTTAGTGTTAGGCAAGTTATATATTCCTTTTTTTCGTTTTATAATTGTGAGTTGAGCAACCTGTCCCTGTTTTTAAATTTTCACATCTTGGTCGTTAAAATAAACACTTTTTGATTTTTCACTAATTTTTTCCGTCAATCTTAAACATTTGTTAAATAAAAAACTGCAAGCCTATAATGTTCATTTCAAAATTTTCATTTAATCTGTACTTGCAATTTATTTAATCTTTACTTGTTCGAATATTATAATTAGTTTCCATAAAATTTGATTTCAATTCTCTTGAGGCTGTTAGATCATTTTTCAATATTACTAATTCTTGTCTATCTTGGTTTTCTTCTTATCTTTGTAATCGTTTTTTTTCTGTTGTTCTCAATAATTCTAATTCTAACTCCTCTACCCTAACTTTTGGGGTACCTCAGGGTTCTACCCTTGGCCCTCTTCTATTTATACTCTATACTTCTGAACTACCTCGTATTATTAATGATTTTTCTCTCAGTAGTTTCTTTCACTTTCACTTACATTTATACTTCTTTCCATCTAATCTCAATAGTGTTCTTATAATCTATATCTATTTCTTTCTTCAATTATCGCTTGGTCTGATTATGTGTCCTATGCATAGTCCTTCTAAATTTGAATTAATTTGTTTTAATAAATCTAAATACTTTATTACTATTTCTCCTATTATTTTACCTAATTCTAAAACTCTTGATGTTTCTCACAAGTTTCTTAGTCCAGGCTTTATCTTTAATTCTAGCATGTCTTTTTCTTCTCAGATTAATAGTGTTGCTAGAAGTTCTTACTTTCATCTACGTAGATTAAAAAACTTTTGCCTTTTTTTGACGATCCTACCCTTCTCCTTCTTGTTACTTCGTTAGTCTTATCCTGGATTGATTATTTTAATTCGCTCTACTATGGTCTTCCTGATTCTACATTCCATCCTTTTAGTAAAGCTTTTAACTCTGCTGCTCGTCTAGTTGCTCGTGCCCCTTTCTTTTCTTATATATCTCCATATCTTGTTCTCTTGCAGTGGCTACCTATAAAATATAGAATAATTTTTAAAATTTGTACAAATATGTATAAGTCCTAAGTAGTTATCTATATTAATTGAATCTAAACGTCTCGCTTTACGATCATCTTCTTGTTCTCACGTTTTTTTAACTCGTATTAAACACTCTAGCTAAATCTGCACTTGCTTTTTTTGGTCCTTTTCTCTGGAAATATAAACCTCTTTCTCTGACCACTTCTTCATCACTTACGAAGTTCAGAGTGGATCTCAAGACCCATCTAATTGCAAAATTCATTGAGGAGCGTTGTTGAACATCGCGGAAATAGCGCTTGATAAACTAATTGATTGATTGATTGAATTCTGATAGACATCTTGGTTTTAAAGGAAGTTGAATATTGTTAGGAGTTATATAATTTTTAATGAATATCATGAACGTTATTTCGAATGATATATTTAGATTGAATAAAAGAATGTTATATTGAATGTAAATCAAATTGATGTTATAAAAAACCATTAAATGTCGACCTTGTAATTGGTGGGACAAACATTGAAAACATACATTTTTCCATTGGTTTTATCTCTTATGACAACAAACACATTCTTCGAATTCTTGAAACTGGGTACCTCGTTTACCGCAAACAATACCGCTGTTTCATTTATTAGTCTGATGAAAATTTTTCAATTTAAATAATTTGCCAAATTTGTTACATTTTTTATATTTGACTCCAAAAGAAATAAAGCAAATGAAGCAGGAGGTGACTGTGAGGAACTACAAGTTTGTGTAGTTCATCAAGCAGAGCCACCTTTACTAAATTATTTAATCATTATACAATACAATACAATACAATACAATACAATACAATACAGCTTACCAATTACAGTACCAGAGCAGGCTTTAGGCATAGGCAAACCAGGCAGTCCGATTTTTAGGGTCCTCGCAATGCAAATTAAAACAACTTTTTTTTAGAAATCCTACTTCGATGAATTAATTTTATTATATATACTTGTTTTATTTTCAATTAATCGCAGTATTGCGCAGCAAGAATTTATCATAAAACAAACGTATTCAGGTTGAATATTTTTCAAATGTGTAAAATTTTCTTGTGCACATTTTTACAAAATGTCACTTGGGACCACCAAATTTTCTTTGCCTAGAGCCTCCTACTACCTAAGACTGGCCCTGACAGTACACTACAAATTACAACACACATTCAGTTTAAAAGTTTACAAATTAATGAAATACAAATTACAACACACCTTTTGTTTAAAAAGTCAATAGATTGTTAAAGCACATTGCTTATAAGCACACATCATTTCTACGTTCGAATTCAAGTTTAATATTACACATTCACACATGATCACGATTATTTTCACGTTCAATTACACACATTCACACACGTTTGCACTCCCTTATTCACATTAACATACAATTCAGTTTTTTTTACAATGATATTAAAAAATGTGATATCAGTTTGTCTTCTGAAAATTGATATTGTTGTGTCTCATTTGTATGCCTTATTAATGAAATAATTATGTACATAAAATTTTAAAAAAAAAAATTGGGTTTTTTATTCAAGAAATTTTGTTCGTTACGTAACAGAGGTGAAGGGTAGGAAGGTCAAGTCGTCTGTTATTGAAAAGCTCATGTAGTTACACTTTGAGGTCCAGCCTATAACATAAGTTTGAAAACAATTTTGAAGCTAAAGATCGAAATATGCAAATGCAAACGTGGCGTAAATATGAACAAAACAAAGTATGTGATGAAAAAGAACTACGAAAAGATCGGATTTACAAGTTTAAGTTTGTCGATAAGAGTATAAAACATCTTTTTTATGATGTTGAGTTGGTGATGTTGAGGCCTACATACATTGAGGAAGAACCATAAACGAGCGTTCTCATTAAGCTGAGGAATTTTTCAAAATCAGCCATATGTTTTCTTCCAATTTAAATGATCTAAAAATAATCTGATGCGAAATATCGAAAAATTATGCAAAATAAAATCAAACTTTGCGGTGGCAACTTTTCTGACACTGTTGACAGATACCAGCTTAAAGGTATCAGCGGTTAATCCGTCCACTTCGCACGCCAGGTATATAAAGAAATAGTTTTCGGGTTTTTCGTATATATGTAATTCAGCATTCATATAAATTACTTTGAATGGTCTCACAATGTAACGGTATATATCGGCTGTTAACACCTGAACAAAAAAATCTGCAAGATATTCATATTTTATTAGAAAAATCAAGATAAATTGAAGAAAAATTGTAGTCAATATTTTTTAATAAATTAGTTTTTTCGAAATTGTTTTTTTTAGAAACTTTAAGTTTGAAAATAAATTAAAAATCGAATTATTTTAATATTTCTTACTTAAGCTAAATGGCATTTTCAATTGATTGTCGTTGTTATTTCAAATGAAACATTGTTAATAATAATTTTTTCTAATTCAAATTATATTATAAAATTTACATTCTGAACTTCAAAAAAATGTTATTCACTGAAACACTTTATTCTATTGCGATTATTTAAACGTTGTTACATTTTAAAATAACACATGGACCTCGGTCCACGATCGTTTTCTGTTCTCACTTTTCCTTAACTCGTGTTAAACACTTTTATGCCGAATCTAAGTCTGCTTTTTCTGGCCCTTTTCTCTGGAAGTCTCTACCTCTTTCACTAACTACTAAATTACTTACGAAGTTCAGAGCGGATCTCAAAACCCATCGGTTTAAAAAGTTCATTGAGTAGCGCTGTGGAACCGCTGATTCATCTCAGTGTCAAAGATTGCACTTAGTAATGTCTTCAGTAATTTTATTTTGCATAAAGTTGATTCTAAAAATATCTTCCAAAATAACAAAATATTAAATTTTTTTTCGTAGTTTCGTTTAAACAGTTTATCAGTGATTGAACAAAAGTTATAACTTAAAAGTACGAAATCATTTGTGTTGTGCTTGCATGAAATGATCACTGAGACCACACCTACAACGGATTAACTAAACATCTAAAATATAATCACAACACATTTTCAAATTTCCAAAAAAATTTAGTTAAATTGTAAATTAAATAAAATTTGCCGATAAATACGGCAATCAACTAATGATGTTAGAAATACTGCTGGAAATCATGGAAAAGAAGCAAACTTTTCAGCTATAGCCATATAAAAATAAATATTTTTTATAAATTTAAATCTTCTTGCCGAATTGCTCCTCGATTTGAAAATGTCCTACATATGTTCAGGTATTTTAATGTAGATACTCTTGAAAGCACATTATTATTAACCTTCACAAAATTTTCAAGAGTGTAAACATCACACACTCAAGCACAGCTCGTGTGCCGAATATGCTAAAATCGGCGCATCCCACACACCGCATGAGATAAGCAGAGATTCGTTTGCATTCGAACCAGGTAACTTACAGCAAGTCCAGGAGTACGAACTATTCCTCCAACTCGACAAACATGTGTATACAATTTTTGGCCTACTCCATATATTCCAAATAGTTGCTTTTGGATAAGATATATTTGTTCAATCTGGATCCTAGATGGATATCTCGAGGAAATGTTGTCACATCAATGGAAACGAGGGATTGACAACTTCTTACGAGTTAAATTAAAAGTGGTAAAAGAGTTAACATGGTGGTACACATTTTTTCAATTACAGACAAAGCAGAGGCGTAGCTGGGGGGGGGGGGCGAGGGGTACATATGTCCCCGGGCGCAAAGTACAGGGGGCGCCAAAATGAGGCAGACAAAATTTTCACAAGAGTATACTATGTAAATTATCTTTGACAGTGACTGAATCATATGTTATAATTTGTATATTTATACTTTATCTTTAAATACAATGTTTCATTAAAATTTGAATTGTTTTTGTATACAGTAATTTTTACAATGTTAATGTAATAAAAAATGTGATTAAACATGGAGAGAGAGGCGCGCCAATTTTATAGTTTATCCCCGGGCGCAAAATGGCTACGCCTCTGCACAAAAGACTAAAGAATCACAAAAAATGAAAAATAAATCAAAGATCTTCTTCAAAGGCCTCTCCAATATTTGAACTATGTTTGAGAAGTCTGATACCAATTTTTATATTTTTGACTTTGTTGTTATATTAAAATGAATAAAAATTGGAAATGTGGAAATAGGGAAGAACCTTCCTTCGGCATCTCAACAGTGGTGGCGTTGCCCAACATACGTTCAACTGTGATTAAGCCTATCATTTTATAATTGAGAAGTCTCAGTTTTTCAAACTTGTGCTTGCTTTTAAATTCCATGACGTATTTTTGACCTGTCGTTAAAAAATTATCATGGAATAACTGTTTGCTTGCTAGAAGTGGGTCTGGTACGATAACAATATAACAACTTAACCTTTAAGAGAACCGGTATCGAAAAGTGATACAACACACGCAAAACACACATACCTATGCAACTCACACACACAACGCATACAATGCGCATACAATTCACAAGCACACACAATGCACCGATATCAATGCACCGACAACACGCAAACCAACATCATATACACAGTGCATCTAAACAACACACATACAACTGAACTGACAAACAAACCTAAACAACACACATATACCTTACACACACAGATATACCTTTACCACACAGACACGCATACGCACAGACACACAACCACATGCAACATTTAACGGAAAAGATCTGGACAGCGTACCGACAAAGAGGCGTTTGGATTCCTCGTCCGTTGGACGTACAATTTCAATCTCGTCTGCCATGTTTGGAGCCGAGTAGATGAGCAACATGTACGTCTCCTTTTTCCGCGGGTTGTTGAACAGGTGACGCTTCTTAAACATTGTCTCGCGAAATGTTTCCGTATCGCTCGTCTTGGCTACCTTTTCTGTGTTGCTAAAAATAAACATAAATTAACATTGAACAAAAAACTTCATAATAAATTAACTACTCCTAGTACTGCTACTCTCCACACTATGCTACTTTTAATACCACTACTAAAGCAATTACTACTACTACTATAATAACCACCAATTATTATTATTATATTATTATTATAAGAAAACTTGTATAGCGACTTTTATAGAACTACCCAAAGTCGCTATCCAACATAACCAAAAAAAATTTTTGTCCATTTAAGTGATCAAACAAAAACATAAATATTTCGAAAATAAACATAGGTATACATTGTAAAAAGAACTAAAACAAAACAGATAAATCCTTTAAATTCATGCACCCAATCACTCAAAGTCATGTAACAACCATATAAGAACCAAACAGCAACCATTTTAAACCAAATCATAGATACATTCATTCACACTTTATTCACACCGATCACACACAATTACGCTCAGAAGATGCACGATAACATATAATTCAGAACAACTAACAGATAAATACCCAGCCACCAGCACAATAATTATAAATCGATTCAAATTATTAAATAATAATTATAATAATAATTAATGTTATTATTTATGGTTATAAATGTTTCACAAGTATTTAAACAATTAAAATTGGGTATAAAGCATAGTAAAGTGTAATGAGACAGAATAAAATAACAAACTAAATAATAATAATAATATGATAAAACAGAAATAAATTCTTCGAATCGTTCGAAATTACCTAAAGAATGATTTTAAAATAAATACGCCTTTCATAAGTACGATTAATAATGAACCAATTATTTTATATACATACACGATTATACATTCACCTTTATATATCTATTGGTATATATAAAAACATATTTGAAAACCGGGGGGGCGAGAAATTTCTAACAAAAAGTTGAAAACCAGAGTGAGGGGGGATTATTAATAAAAGTTGAAGACTGGGAAGGGAATTTTTAAAAATTTGTTTGACAAATGTTTCAATTTTAACTGGGGAGGCCAACTTTTATGGTAATGCGGTCTAAAAATGTACATAACACCTTTCTTGGAACTATAATATCAATTTTTCTTTTATCAACATTACCTATATCGTTACTCAAACGTTCACTGGCCTCCCGGCTCCCCTCTAGATCCGCCACTGTATATATATATATATATATATACATATATTATTGATCCAATATATATATATATATATATATATATATCAGTGTATATTTATCAGTGTATATATAAACATTTCTGATAAATGCTTGCATATAGTTACTCTTTGTCATCTTCTGTGACGTTTGAACTTTCACCACCACCCGGCACCAACATCGAGACGAAACTCGCGAACACCAAGTTCTCCCAGACTTCTGTAAAATCGCTCATAAATAATAATTAATACATTCGACCACTTTAAACTTTCATCATCATAATGTATAGAACACTGATTTTTCATTAAATGTATTTAGTATGTTCTTGCGTTGGTTGGCTGGTTGATTGATTGGTTGATTGATTGATTGATTGATTAATCAACTTTAACAGTAATACAAATCTGGGTTTGGTGAATATCAATGGGGATTTGACTTTACAAAAAGTGCTGAAAAATCAGCCATAAGATATTTTTGAAGGAATGAAACAGTTTAAGAAAATCAGATGTTCACTATATTATATGCATTTGTAAGAAATAAATGAAACCACTGAGAACCGTTTACGACATGACCTGAAAAGAGGACAAAAGAGATTAATCAATTTTTTGCACATCTTGAAGAATTTAATGTTCGAATTCAACAGAAACTAATGATTGATAATAATTAACATTGCAATTGATCAACAATGACATCAGCACAAGCGTTTTGTTAATAAATGACTTAAAAGGAGTTTGAATCACCTAATGAAATTGAGATTTACAAATAAAAATGAAAATTTGTAACTTGAAAAATAATAGCTATTTCAAAATTCAGAAATGTACTTAAGTATCAAGTAGAAACACAGACAATTAAATTAATGTACAGTACAGATAACAATACTCTTATCTCAAATGCACAAGAAAAAAGAACACTAATCGGTCAAGCAAATCAAAAACTTCTCTTTCAAATCAATAAACCATTCAATCAGATATTAATATATCTGATTGAACTAGGACTGTGCTAAAGTATGACGTTTTGGTCGGATTACCAGGATTTTCAAACACAGATCCGACAGGAGTTCTAGTCGAATTGGTTGAATTTTATAACTCGTGGCCATGGCTTTGTTAGCTTACCTACACTAAGCATCAAACCTCGTTATAATACACCCTTATCAATGACCGTATAAATTAATTTTAATTTAATACCAATTAAATAATACATCTTAATCGATTTTCCTATGTGCCATACGCTGTCCTATACAAGCGTAACCTTGAAAACAAAATACAATAAAACTTGCGTGCGTAATAAAAACATGTGGAGTTTTAACATGCGAAATTCTCAACACGTTCGCTGATTAACATAATTTACATAAACAAATGAATGTACAGTGAAAACGTGGACATACATGCGTGTACATACATATACATGTATGCACAACAACACTGATGCATACACTGTAAATTAACATTTATGTGACAAAAATCCGGCCCAATTTCAACTTAGCTGGGTTTGGAACAATGACCAAAATCTCACAAAAAAGCATTAGCGTCTTTAACATTTTTTACTATACAGTAAAAGTACAACTACTAAGTAAAATTAGTTCTCGGGTACTACTTGAGTACAAGTAGCAAATACAACTTATTACTGGAATCACACTCACTTCTCGTAACAAAAGTGAAAAATATCATTAATATGGTCGGATGTATCAAACAATCATATTTATGAATTGATATTTATTTGGTGCTTAAATCTATTTGTGACTTACTCTGCTTCATAAATATTTATGAAACATTTTACACAAACGATAACTATACTAACTCTACGATTTATTAACTCAATTAAAATCCATTTTGCAATGTCTGCTTTGCTCTCTCTTTCCCTTCTTACTAATTTCAATTTTTTCACAAGTTTCAGGTCAGTCCTCAAGGCATCTATCTCGTTGCCAAGTGTCTTAAGGATGGCCGTTGAATGCCACGTAAATAGCGCTGTAGAGAATATTGTGATTGAATGATTGATGGGCTGAATAATTTGGAATGAGTGAGACAATTGTTGCAATAAAGTTGAGTTCACAATAACTCATACTTGAAAATTATTCATCTGTGTTGCCACTGCCTTACATATTACAATACAATGTATTATGTGCAGATAAAACAATTAACAAAATTTACTAACTTTCAAAAAGGACCGACGCTCCAACTAAAAAATCAAAGTTTTTATGGGAACTTATGTTTCATTAACTTTTTAAATAAAAATAAAAAAATCTTAGACAAGAGTTTACTAACAAGTTTTATAAAAAAACACCCCACAAATCGAATTTGTTTCTTCTTTCAGGTCTATGTTGAAATTTTCCGACTCCTCTTCTATCATCGTCAAAGTCTGATTGTGTATACATTTATTTATCGTCCCATTCATCATTAATCAAATATATTAGCAACACACACACACACACACACACACACACAATGCAAACACACACACAATGCAAACACACACACAATGTCCACACCACTCCAACACACACACACCACTTCCCTCCACACACACACACACACACACACACACACACACACACACACACACACAAACACAACACGCAGCGAATTCGAACCAGGGTCATTCATCTAATATTATACGCTACCTGTCTCACCCATCCATCTTAATCAAGTGCCGTTTTTCGAGATTTTTAAAGAACTCCGTGAAGGCATTAAAATAAGAAAAGAACTGACTATGCCATGAAGTTTGATTGATATTTAATACTGAAAATACCTTCTGTTTAATACGTTTGTACCGGAATAAGCTGAATGCATTTGATAAAAAAAAAATAATTCAATTAAAGGACGGTTGTAAATATGCGGCTGGTTTCATCGGCGTACAAAAGCGTCAAAATTTTAATAACAGTTTCTACTAAAGTTATTGTATATTTTTTTAATATTTGACTGGTTACGAATAAATCAAAATTTTATTTGCTTTTGTTAATCAGTCTTATATTTTGTTGACTCTAACTTTTACAAAACCATTCGATACATTTTTTTGAGACTCTGTTTCCTGAATGATACTGATAAATCTTAATAAGATAGCAAACTCACTGCTGGTAGGCTACAGACTTTTGTATAATATTTTGTTTGTTTTTTTTTAATTTAAAAAAAATTATGCAGAGCCGGTTAAAAATTTTATGAAGAAGGGACTCATAACTTTTTACAATTTCAGTTTTTGAAGTTAATTGTCAACTGAATCAGCTATTCATGACGCGCGTAAGTTGAGTCATAAAAACAGGATAATATATTTTCCTAGTTCACATTTTTTCGGCTCAATAAATGTTTGAATTTTTAAATTGCGCAATTTTATCCAACCAACCTTTTTATTATTTTACAAAATTCGCGGTAAACTAGGAGGTATAACGATGGGGGAGGCTCAAACCTAGGCAGTTAACCAGGGCGCTATTCCAGGAAAGCGTATTTACCTTTGTATATATCCCTATATACAAAACTTTTATAAGAACTTTTGATTACCAATAAAAAAAGAGGGAAAAGAGGTGAAAGGCGTATTCACATGCATATAGAACAGTATTCACGAATGCTGAGTGTTGTTGTAAATTGCAAATTATAATAGAAAAGAAAAAACTGAATTTAACAAATTCATATAGCACTAAATTTTGACGAGTTAAGTTTCAGACAAAAACAAGAATTAAATTCAATTAAGAGACTCACGCAGACGTCGTGATCCATTAGAAAATTCGATACATTAGCAATGATTAAGCCGTTGAGCGGATTCTGATACAATTGTTTGATTATTTCGTTGTTGAACTCTGCAAACCTCTGATTCAGTGTTTGAAGTTAATCAGCACACATCCTATCTTTTAATCATAATTAAGTAGTTTTCATTTCTTCAATGACACTAACCGGGCTTTACAATTTAAAGTAGAAAAATTATTTAACCACGCAAAGTGAAAAGAAAGAGTGAATGAAGAGTTTACTTTCTACAGCTGGCAAGAATGAATTTATGACGCCTGTCGCAATGAAAATATGTTAATATGTAAATTAACAATCTCAGCTTTGATGAAATCATTTTGAATATTTTTGAAATTTGTAAACAGCAACAAATGTTTCGTGACGTCCTCGTTGCTAATATTCCACAAATTGAGAAGTTATTGATTTTGGTTTCTAGATAATTAAAAACAAATCGTTAAAAATTTACGATAATGTTCGTTCTCCATTTTTCATTTGTTCGTGTTGCTACCTCTCTATAACGAAATTTTTTTATAACTCTCTATAACGTATTTTTTTTACAGTTAACTTATTATTGCTTTATTGGCTAATAATTTCAACTTCTCATCATCAAATTGAATTAGATTATCAAAGTTTTTGGGCAATAACAAGTTTACGATAAGACAGTGGCAGCAAAGAAATAATAATAATAATAATAATAATAATAATAATAATAATGAGAACATCCTTTTATTTTCATTTTAAAATATACATTGTAATTATGAAGTTAAAGTAATAAAACTTATAATGTTAATTATATAGATAATCTACAATGCTCGCCATACATTTTGAATGGGCACAAAGAGAAATAGAGTCAGCATTAAATTATGTTCAAATCGTGTTCCTATCGCAGTAAATTGCGTAAGATGACGATACTACGGAATTAGTTAAACTTCTATGAAAAGGGTCAGACCAAATAAAATTGATTAATGATAGTTTAAAATATTTAAAAAAGCCTAGCGGGGAAATTTCGAATGAATTTATTATAATATTTGAGTTTTCCAATTCGTCTATCAAATTGTTATTAAGATTTTGAGAGATAATAAAATAATAATGTCATTTTATATAGCGCCATGGCAAGCGACTGAGGTGCATTATCATTATAACAACAAACACACGGTGCATAAATGCACGTGAATCACCAATCACACACTTTTGCATGTGATAGGCGGGGATCTTTTTGCATTCGAACCCGGACACTGCATCAACAATGCCAGACACCTTAGCCGAATTGTTTAATTTTCTTCGACAGACTTTCCAAAATAAACCTCTACTATAGCTAGATTTGTAGGTGCGGAGACCGCGAGGTAAGGGAGAAGCTGACGTTCTTAATATTGTATTTTAAAAATGAAAAATAGCAATAACCGCTTTTTAAAATAATCGGCGACCTTTTTTGTTATCGCTTATTCAAAATTCTTTTCAATGTTTTCTATTAAATCCAACATTTGTTACGAGTATGGCTGCTAAAAACGACAACAAAAAAGTTTTGAGAAAAACAAATTTTCTTGCGGCGACCCACCATTTTTGTGGTGGTCCCGGGACAGTAACATAATATTTGTGCATGTTTGCAGTGCTGACCACTAGAATATTTGTTTGTAGTGAATCTATTATGTTTCGTAGGAGGATGCTATCTCAACAGTAGGAACTCTATTAAGAATCCATCCTGTCATGATTGCTTCTTTCATTTAAATCGTGTTATATTTCATTGCTCTATAAAAAAATCATTCGTTATAAAGATGGACAGATGCCTTATACAATGTAGCTTACCACATGAAATATTCAAAGTTGGCTTTCATGAATAGTTATTTCTTTGTAGCTGGTAGCTCTTATAATTCTCTTTTGTTTATTAATAGCTTGGCTCAGTGAGTTGGTTGATTAGTTAAACAGAAAAAAGTTGATTTTTTAATAATTTTAAATTTGAATTTGTTTGTCAATGTTTTTAGCGATGTAAATAGTTCGTTTAAATAGTCAAATAGAAAACGAATCACAAGTCAGTTATTTCACTTTAGAATTTACCTTCACGTAGGGTTAAATAGGTATTTATTGATATTGATGTTGGCGAACAGCTTTATTTCAATCTAATTTCTACAAACATTGAAATCTAAAAAACTTTTAAATGGTATGAAATGGCGTGAAATAACTTTCCACAGAATAAATAAATTAATAAACAAAGCAATCAATCAATCGATCGATCTATCGATCGTGAGTTGGTTGATTAGTTAAACAG